CCACACCTAAGAACCACTGGATAAAGGAAAGCCGCAAAAACAAGCTCAAAACTCTTTTTCAACCACGCCACTCTCAAGCCAGAAACAACCAAACCCAAAACACCCAGAACTCCGCGCAAGCCAAATGGAGGACGGGCCGCTTGCGTGGCCGTCAGGGAGATTTCCGAGGCCAACTCGGGCTCCTCGTTTGGGGAGCAAGCAGACTAATAAGAACAATAAGAACAGCAATGTTGCTACCATTGGTATATTGAACTAACCATAGTATCCTGCTGCAGTTTAATTCCATTTTAGGGGCCTTGATAATCTTTTATGTAGGGTTTTGGTGGGAATATTTCACCATTTAGTACAACTTGCTTTACAAGAGTCGTACCCCCTTATTGCCCCTATATGCTTTGGGCATATTATACCCCCAAACCTTTTTTTCATCGTGTTGCTGCTCTCCCGCGCAACATGGGGAAGCACATTAATGTCTCGGGGGAGATTGGGAGAAGGTCGTAGAGGGGCGTGGATGTTGACTGGGAGTCTACATGAGTCTACCACACTATAGCTACAAGCATTTCAACTGGACTCCTTTGAAGGGTCCTGCAATGGTTTTGTGGTGTTTGGAAAAAGGGGCCGGAATCAATGCCAAGAATATTCCTTAGGGCCCCCTAATATTTTCAATTGATGACCAGAACCGACACCAACGACGCAACCCGAACCCGGGCCTCAACGGCAAGCCTGCCGAACACCTATCAAAGCATGTGGCTCGATCTGGGTGAAACTGAGGGTTTCGGGGGCAGAAGCTTCCCATAAGATCAGCTAGCCTTCATCACTGGCCGCGCCGCTGAATGGCATACACGGAAGTGTAGTGCCCGAGTGCGCCGAATTGATGTAGCGCCAGTCTCGGGATGCAGGCAATGAGTTGTGACATTGTGTCACATTTGGTGCAATGAACCAAGTGACTGGACGCGGTGTGCACCGGCTGAGCTGCCATTAATTTCAATGGTCTCGTGCTTGCCGGATGTGCCTGGCGGCCGCCACCCTCCACGCTGCAGGTGACCAGTAACGCGGATCACCACCAAGACCAAGCGTCTGGGCATTCGTAGACAGGTGCAGAGACGAGATGTGGCCGTCAGTGTTAAAACATCATGTGTATAATATAACCCTGCTTTTTACATGCTTGAGTTTTCGTTGGTATTAACACACGCATCTCACCTCATATGAAGGAACAGGAGGTTGGAAAGGCTCAGGCCGCCGCCTGTCGCATGCCACCTTCCAGGCCGCTGGGGACCAATAGAGAATACACATCAGAACCAGCTAAACCCCATGTAGACGCTGGTTTCAAGAAGCACGCAGCACATAGGCCAAAGTGCCGGATTCAATACACAAGTACACACTCGTGCGAAGATGGGCGTGCGCAATCCCACTGACACTGACAGATAGCCCCGGGACCACGTAAGATTGAAGGGTTAGGGCTAAAAAACTGCCGTTGTTGCGTGGTGTCGCAGAGGTTGTCGATGCAGATGCCTGCGCACCATTCGTAGACAGCCGGAAAGCAGCGTGAGAGCCATCTGCGTCCCCCGAGAGTTTGCGACTGGTAGGAGAGTCGCGTTGTTTAGCTGAGATCGCGGCTTCGGCCGGGCTTTCGCTCGCGCCTTATTGAGCCTGGCTTTCGGCGCCACTGCAGGTCGAGCCGTCAGGGAGACTCGCAGGTCTGAGGCCAAGCCCCTTAAGCTCAGAGCGTCAGGGAGAGAGAAAGGAAAGGAGAAGAAGGAACCGGCTACCGGTAAGGCAGGACCGAAACATCTCCCAATCAGCAGCGAGCGCAAAGACCAATACAAACAGCAACAATCCGGAGAGAGAAGCTTGAACACAACGACTGCTTCGAAATAGTCCAACAAAAACAGAACGATGAGAACCAGAATGCCACAACCCGAACGGTGCTTCAGCAAACCGCTCGAAGCCAATTTCGCAGGAAAAGCTCGAGGTCGACAAGGACCCTGTTAAAAAGGCGATCCGTTGTATGAACTCGTGCGACGGACACGGTACGAAGGCAAGTGGCATCCGGATTTCAGATGGCGCTGCTTTACCCATGCATGTTCTACGACGAAGCGCGCAGGCCAGACAACGAAGCACAAAGCGACGAACTGGATGTCTTACACAGAAAAGGAAGGAAGGCCACATCGAAAGAATCGGCACTGTCAACACCTTGCTTTCCCGTGTCTGCTGTTCAACCGTTAGTCTTTGGGTACTCTTTGCCTTAAGTTCACATCCTATGTGATGGTGGACACCTATGTGATGGTGGACAGCACAGCACTACAATAGTGAGGGCAACGTGTAGGCACTTGTAGCTCCTCGACAGTGGACTGCGCTAGAGGCTGTGGGTGTATCAAATGATGAAGCCAGCTTCAAGTTCTAGTCCTTTGATCACCGACCACGATGCAGAACAACCCCAGCGAATCTTAAGCTGAGCCACCCTCAACCAAGCCTCAAGACTTTTACATGGCATCAACCAGTTTTCGTTCTCGAAGCAGGTTTGTACGGCTGCATCGTATTTTGCACATTTACACAGGGTTTCATAATTCGTCGACAAGGGCTTGAAGGAGTTTTATAGGGTGTGGCAAACCTTTGAACCTGGTTCTTATGGGGCTTGGTAAGGGGCTGACAAGAACTTGACGGGCCCTTGTTCGTCTACGGGATTTGACTGACAATTCGTTATGTTTACGATTCCGTAGCGATGCCATCAGGCTGTATAAGGGTTTTGAGACGTCACGGGGTCGTAAGACAACTGACATGGGTGCGCTCGGATTTCGATTTAAGTATGGATCTAAGATTGGCAGCGAACGGTTTCCACATCATGGTCTGCGACTATGCATTCCTCAAGATCCCCCGCCTTACAAAACTCCGCCTTACAAAACTGAAGACCTCCCTCACAGCATTGTACCAAAAATCCATAAGCCCTAAACCCTTAACCCTAAACCGATCAGCCGCAATGCAGGCCTTTTTCGCCGGCTCCTGCGGTTCTGCCCCCTTCGCCCTCGACAGAACAAAGAGCCGGTTCGGGGGTTCTGTGTATCAGCTTTAGGGCTTCATTAGGGTTTAGGGTTTAGGGGTTTAGGGTTTAGGGTAGAGGGTTTAGGGGCTTTATATGCATTGACCAGGGTTGCTGGCTTTTTAAGATTAAACTTGATGGGCATCGAGATTAGAGCGTATAGGGGTCGAGTTCATCGAAAAGCGGAAGCAGGCTTTGAATTTGGGTGTAGTCTTTAAAGACTCCAAGGGTAAAAGGAGGGACCCTTAATCAGGACCCCTAGGTATATACCCCTAACATAGCTATTATTAACCCATTTTATAGCCCATTATTATTGGGTAGGGGTCCCCATTAAGGGTCCCTCCTTTTCCCCTTTGAAAGAAGGGTTCAAGGCTTAGGGATTGCAAGGTTTGCCATCTTTCTGTTGACGGCTGCCATTCCCGACGTGGGTTCAGGGATTTCAGGTTCGAGGGATAGCGTTTAACGGGCTATTGGGCGTTTGTGGCTTTACTGACGTTCAACTTAGGGGCTTGAACAATGCATAGTACTGACCACAGTAGTCATACTGACACTATTGCCAGCAATCTTGTTCTCATCATGAAGGCCCCTCATAGAAGGGTTCACCCCAAAGGGCCTGAAACTGGTAGGTCTGACAGCCGTGGCTCGGGATGCCGTCTTCTTCGCGGTGGGTTCTACAGCACGAATGGTAAAATGTAGCGGCAGAAGTAGTTGGGGAAACAACGTTGGGCTTTTGTCTTGGAAAAAATTGCTAATTAAAGGCCCCTGTATTATTATTGTTATTACTATTATTATTATTATTATTATTATTAAAACCTCTGAAGACCCAGACTCGCAAGCGTTGTCTCAACTCTGCGCTTCTACCCCAAAAAGCCCTAAGCTCCAACCCTCGACCCTTGGACTTCAGTATGGGTAGTTGTCAAAATTAGGGTCCCTTTTTGGGTGCCCTGAATATGAGGTGCCGTACTAGAATAAGGACCCAAAAAGGGATCATAATTTTGACAACCGCAGGCCTTGAAAAGTTAGTAGCACTGTTCGCTCATAGCCCTATGTATAAATACAGTAGGATCTACCCCAAAACCTTGTTGCGGTTAACCACTGATTCAGGAACCCCCTGCGCAACGAACCCGTTAAAGAAGCCCTGTACTTAGGTGGTTCAGCCCTATGTTACCCAAAAAAGGTTAAAGGGTACTTACTCTACTCCTCACAACGATCATCACCAGATTCATCATGGCACCACCAAAGGTAGTCATGAGAAATGAAAGACCGAGAACAAAGAAGAATAATTTTGCTGAAGAAGACCCTCAACCCTAGGAGCCCCCAAACTCTATGAACCTTAGAAGCCCCTAAACTGTATAAGCCCTAGACGCAAGAATGTTTCTGAAGACGACCCAAGGTTCACTAGGCTGGACCGGCGCACTTTTTGGTGAGCTTTCTTCCTGATCGGAGAGTTTCCGCACATGAGGGGTACCATATTTCGGGGTCCTCATAAACAGGATCCTACTATTTAGGGTACTATACTAGGGTTTTAGATTTTGGGGATTCTGGCAGGCTTTAGGGCTGAGGGAACTTTCGGGTTCAGGGTTCAGGGAAGCTTACCTGGACCCCAAAAGTATGTAGAATAACAGCCTTTTATAGGTTTTGGGCCATTATTCTACATACTTCTGGGGTCCAGGTAGGGCTTAAAGTTCAGTGGCGGGGTCGCGAAAGTGCAACTTCTGAATCGGTCCCACTACGACGCTTCAAGGGGAGACAAGAAACCATCCCCACTGCCTTTCAGTGCCGGGACCTGATTGAGAAAACCCTGGCTCTTATTAGGGTTCTGAATGAATACGGATCCTATGATTTGGGGGATTGGAACCAAGGGTATGGTCAGTCAGGCTTCATGAAGGCCTGGCTACTTTGCTCATTGTCCTTTCTTAAACTCCCCGCCCAACTAGGCTTGGGCATGGATACTCGCAGCAGGACTTCACGTTCCCACAACCCAATGGCCAAACAAACTAAACCGTCCAAGCTTCAGGAATCGCGCGACGACGCCCAGGAAGAGGAAGGAAGAGAAGACGATACAAACGCCAGCCATGTCCTTGGATTCTCGGAGGTTCCAGGAACTTCAGCGTGTTGCGCCGAGTTTGGAGCTCAGGATAAGACTGTGCAACGAAAAATTCAAATGCCAGGCAAGAACTGAGCATCCACAGCAGTGAGCTGAACCTCCTCTTCCTCCCCAGAGGTCGAGTCTTCCAAGCACGTGTCGATCTGTTTGTAGCGGAACTGATCCTCGGTAGTGCGATGGACTTACCTTTGGTTAGTAGGGAATGGAGGAATGGGGCACAATTATATCTACCATTACTACTATTCTTCCAGTCTCTACTAACCAAAGGTAAGAGGACCGCAAGGATTTGCATCTGATACGAACAGCAAGAGACATCAAACACAAGATATTGGAAGTGGCAGCAGACAGAGAGTGGTGGGCTCGCGTTTTAAGCCCAACCAGAAACATCTGGCGTCGCCAACGGGAGGGACGTTGTATAGTCCGCGCATAGGGCAGCTAAAAAAAAAAACGAACAGCAAGGAACCGTATTCAGTACTATTCCTACTCCCACTCCTCTGCTGCTACTAGTCTTGCTTACTAGTGCTAGTACTAGTAGTGCGACGGCTAGTAATATCATAGCAACAGTAACAATAATCATAACAATAATTACAGCAAAACTTGCAATATAGGATTAATCATTACAATGACTACGCCGACGACTACTACTACAACGACTACCACCTATTACGCTGTTTTTGCATAAGCTGCCATTGGTACAAGTAGCGACAAACAACATTCTGCTACTGAAGTTGTGCTACTAGACTCACTAAACTGTACGTACTTGCTCATTTGTGTGAATCCGAAAATGCACCTTTAACGCAATGCAACGACCACCCCAAACTCAAGTTCCTCTGATAAAACTCTTCAAGCGCCGATTACAGACAGGCCTGTGATACGATGCTTCCTGATCCTTCAAGATCAGCCTTGATGCAAAGGCTTCGTCGCAGCTTGGGACATAAGACTTCCAAGGGTAAGCCAAACAACTTGTCATGACGGCTTCAGTGTTGCACAATTGCAAGCCTCACGGTTCGGGGTTCGGGTTGCGATTTCTACGGACCTGACTTCGTCCAAGTTTCATAGCTGGCAAGGAACTCCCCCTGGTAGACCAGCTGCAGGGTGTGGTAGCTCAGCGCCTGCTCTCCGAGCAGAACCCTGAACCAACTTCACTCAAAGGGGAAAAGGAGGGACCCTTGCCCTATAATGGACTATATCATGGGTATATAATAGCTATATTAAGGGTATATACCTAGGGGTCCTTATTAAGGGTCCCTCCTTTTACCCTTGGATTCACAGCTTCAACCCGCAACGCAGAAGCCTAAGCAGCAGAGCCTCGGGGCACCTTGCAGACTGAGCCTTCGAAGCACAAGCAGCCCCCACAAGATCCAATCGAGCGGGGGCCAGGATCCGAACTTTTGAATCTTTTGGAGCTCAGTGTTTAAGGTTTAGGGTTTAGGGTTTAGTGTAACCTGCTTGTCCCGTATCCTGAGGAATTAAAGGCTATCCTTTGGGAGTATATTGGGAATATGCAAATGGGCTATATGACCCCAAACGGGTCCAAGGCTACCTGCTCCTACTGCAACATGGTAGAGTCTCCATTCTACGCAGCTTCGTCTCTTGGCCTAACCTATGTAATACGATCCTACAAGGGAGCGACCCTAAACCCTAAACAACCCCTAAATCCTACACCCTCAACACTCAGCAAAGGCACGTTGATCAGGTCAGATCTGGCGGCAAAGCCCACATAGACGGTGAACACAGCTTCGCCAACCTTTCTTGCTGGTGGCTATGCTGAATGATTGAATAATGCTTATATGAATCGACGCTAAGCAAAAACTGGAATGCCAACATCAAGCTTGATGACTGGACGTCAGCAGCAGATGCATAGCCTAGCGACATGTATGAAGGCCGGAATAATGTTTACCGTGCCTCAACGTATGTATGTATAGATAGATAGACAGATGTATAGAAAGAGACTTGGCTAGAGTAGAGTAGAGCAAATGAGACTAGATTCAGTAGCCTTGGCCCCTGCATACACCCGAAGCCCTGCACACTCATACCGGGGTGGTCATCATTAGAACAAATGCTTTGGGGCATATGAGAGTGCAGTTACGAAGGAACCGTGACTTTAAGGGGAAGCCGTCAGTATTTCAGCCCATGTTAGGCCACATGGGTAGTTCTCTAAATTAGAGTCCCTTTGGGGATATCCAATATAGTGCGGCACCCTTATAAAAAGGACCCTAAAAGGGACCCTAATTTAGAGAACTGCCCACATGTTGCTGAAAAAGCCCCGCTGCCAGGTGGAAGCCATTCTCGCACATCGTCTCCTCCGAAAGACGTCTGGGCTGTTCTGATGTAGGGGCCTTAATAACTAGAATAGGCGGCTGGGCTCCGCTATGGTAGGATTATAACACGGAGCCGGAAGGAATCAAACTGGTGGCACCAGCACCCGATGTCTACTCCCGACTGTTGGGACGGGTACGTCAGGATTTAAAGTAGGAAGCCAAGGCGGCGGGCTTCATGGGGCCGTGCGAACGCTGTCTTGCAAAGCTTGCCACTGAGATCGCATTGGATGCTTGGGGCTTAGGTTTCCCTAAACTGCCCTAATTAAACCCTATACTCTTATTTATAGAATCCCTACAGATCCCGTTAAAGGGACCTGTAAGGGAACCTTTATAACTACCCATGACCCTCTCCATTATAGGATCCTAACCATTAAACTGGTTAATTAACCAAAAGACGGAACTACAATGGAAACTATAGGTAGGTTTCCTTACACTGCCCTCCTAAACCTTGACTAAACCCTAAACCCTAAACCCTCGAGCTTCTTGGCGCGTGCGCCTGGTAGTCGGAGCGGGCGCGGACGTCGTGCTCAGGGACGATGGCTGCTTGGCAGTCGCCGTTCCTGGGTTCTTGCTAAGGGATTCGGGATTTAAGTTTAGTTACCATAATTTAAGGAACCCTTACAGATCCCTATGATGGTAACTTCAAGAAAAATTGGGATTAATCCCCATTATGGTATCTTAACCTTAAAATCCAAGCCTTCCAAGGAACCCTTCTAGATCCGATTATGCTAACTTAAAGGAAAACATTCCTGAACAAGAACCCAGGTTCACAAGACCCCCTGCGAGATCGCCAGAGTTCTGGAAGACGACGACTTCCATAGTAGGATGCTGCGCTCGGACCAAGTTCAGCTGCTGTGCGATGACGCAGACTTTCCTGGGCAAAACGTGAGACAGATCGGATGCTGTCTTCTTGCTGGGGGCGTGGTTCGGGTGCAGTCATCTAGGTCTGCCTCCCAAACTCTAGACTGACTCATTCAGTTCTTCTCTGCTTCCCAAGCTTTAGATTCTGCAAGACTGGTTAAGCTTGAAGATGAAGCCCAATCTGCACGCGGCTCCAAACATCGTCTACACGATGGCCCATCACGGATTGCCAATGAGAGCCGAGCCGCTGGCAAAGATCCGATGGAGGGTCACAGTCCTTGCGCCAGCAATCGGGCATACTCTTCAAGAGCTTAGGGCTTATGTACTGTACATGACTGTACACACCCCTACATCGACTATACTACTACACTCTGCAAGAATATGCTCAGTTCCACTGTCGGATACCGCCATGCTGGTGCAACGAAATTTGCTACACTGGGCTAACGTATGCTCCACCAGGGCTCTACCGTCAGGCTACAACACTGTTTGACCGTCAGGCTTGACAGTCATGACCAGTATAAAAACTCCAGGAAAATCATACCAATATTCTGCCATATTAACATTGCGGTATGATGCGTCAAGCTGACTTTCATGTACATGTACATTCACCTGCTCCTACCTACCCCACGATACAGTCTAGTCTACAAAGTGGCTATATTCTACGACCATCTGCCAACATTATGATGCGATAACGACCCTGTATTCTCAACCATCCAAGTCTGCCAAAACCCTAAAGCCTAGAGAGATCCTGGATGCTGGAAATTCCCGAGGACTGCTGGGCATCGATCACGAGCATCGTTGCCAGGTTGGCCGTGTAAGATGCCAACATCACCATGCTGAAGACCTTTGTGTGGTTCAAGGTTTGGGGTTTGGGATGTGGGGTTTAGAACTTAGGATTTCGAAATGAGGGTCTGTGGGATTGGGATATAGCTGCATTGTGGGTGCGGCTCGTGTTATGGAGCACCGAAGCACTCTTGCGGCTTGCGTTGTTCTTCTTCTGTGCCTCACTGTCCGCATAACATAGCTAGATCTGGGACCATGGCCGCTTTGAATCATGACCGCCGGTTGTCCGCTCTTGAGATTGCTGGTTGCTCATCGCGCGTGTCGGCTGTAGCAATGGTCGTGTTGTTCAAAACCATATAAACGCAGCCGTGCAACAGGGAACATGTCCAAAAGCGATATCGAGCGAGAGAGAGAGAGAGAGAGCGCTCGATCACGTGCGTGTGTGTGTATGTATATATATATGTATGAAGAAAACTGTTCGTGTGTATGCAACTGTATACTTACAACCACATACGTATGCATGGGCTGTTGCAAACATACACATCTGGACATGTGTCGGTTTTCTGTTGCTGCGAGGGAGTGAAGTGGACAAGGAATTGCCTTCACTCAGATTTTGCGGTTTGAGGCCGAAAACTGGCCCATGCGTTTTCGCTGTTTTACCTTCGTTCATGAAAACCACAGGAACAGACTGCACTCAATGACAATAGCCCAAAACCAAAAAAGCAAACAAACCAAGACCAGAAGAACAAAAAACAACAGTACCAACAAAACCAAGAAAACCAACACCATAAAACCAAAAAAACAAAACACACACAAAAAAAAAAAAAAATATTCAGAAAGTCCTGGTGTATAGCGCTGAGCTCAACCTCTGTCAATCCCAGTGAGCATTCCGCCAGGCCACTGCGAACCCAACCCGGATCCACATGCCCGCGCGCGTCTTGGTGTCGCCAAGGTCGCCACCGGCAAAGAAAGAAAGAGTGCCTGTCCGTCTTAGGCATGGAGTTGATTCTTAACCCTTTACCCTTAAAAAAAATGAGTCAGGTACAGAGTGCACGGCTTCTGGTAATGCCCTCCCGCGAACCCTAAAGCCCTAAAGCCCTGAAAGAACTCCTTACAGGACCCTGTATCGTAAAGCAGCCCATCATAAACGGGATCCTTTTCGGGGTCCTTTAAGGATTCCCAAGAGCTCCCAGAAAGTCACAAAGAGCATTAGAAGGAAGCCCTTGAAGGAACCGCAGCCCACGCAGCGACCCCCTTCAAGGAACCGCAACAAAAGGCCTTAAAGGAGCCGCGGCCCTTTTCGGAACCCTTATGGCAACCCTTACAGCAAGCCCTAAACCCTGAACCCCACAACCCTAAACCCTAGGCCCACCCTAAGCCCAAACCCTGGACCCCTAAACAATAAAGCCCAAACCCAGCCCTAAACCCGAAAGCCTAAACCCTAAACCCCTAAACCCTAAAATCGGAAGCTCTTAAAGGCGCCTTGAGAGACCCCGGTCTTCACGGAGTTCCAGGGACCTTCTGCGCAACAGCCGGTCTCTGACGCCTCCTCGACGGGTTTAAGGGCTTCCGGTTCCAGGGCTTAGGGGTTTAAGGCTTCAGGGTTTAGGGCTGTAGGACTATAGGGTTTAGGCTTTAGGGGCTTTAGGGGTTGTAGGGTTGCAGGGAGTTTTAAGGTTGTACGGGTAAGAGGTGATTTGTTGTGAGGTTGGCGTTGCAAATGGGTTCAGCAAGACCTTGATAAGGGTTCTGAGCTTATCAAGAGGCGAAAGCTTATCAGGAGGCGAATGCAACATTAAAGTCTCCATAAGGCTTTAGTTTTGCAAGGGTGCGCCCCAGGTTCCTGCGCTAGGTGTTTGGGGTGACAACGCTTCAGCAGCAGCATGTTCACGGGTGTCCTAGAGGGGGTAAGGTTTAAGTTTGGGCCTAGGATGGACGGTTTGCGAAAGCCGAACCGTTCCTCGGCCCAATAGAAGGCAATGCCGGCAGCAATGACCAGCAGCCCCACAAGCAGCCACCTTTGCTGCAAAGCAATCCCACAACATGGAGCGTGTTCCATATGGCTTGAAGTTCGGTCTTCACCGATACAGTTTAGGATGCAAGCTGGCGGGCCATTCTTGTGGTGTGTAATTTTGTGAAGTACTGGGAATGCATTGCAATGAGGATACAGCCAACAGCCTACCTCCCTGCTTCAGAACAACTCCTTGCATATGCGGCATTTCTCAAAGGAACACATCACATGTCATGAGCTAGAAAGGGGCAAGGGCTTTGAAGATATGTTGTACTCGACTTGCTGCGTTTTCGTAGGAATTCCACAACAAGAACCCAAGGCGATAAATCAACAACTGGACTGGGCACTAAGTAATTAGTATGCTTTCAATACTCGAGGCCTCAACTTGGTGAAGGGCGAAGGAGCCTCGGAATCGAAAGTGCCGTATGAACACGGAGAGTCGCCGTAACCGACCTATAGTCTCCATTGTAGTTTTGCATGATAGGGTCCCAACCACAAAATAGGTTAACCGGAAAAGGAAGTAGAACGGAGACCATCGGTAGTAGCCCTGTTTCGGTAGTTGGCCGGACCTTTTCAAGTCTGTTCGGGAGGCGCTTTGGTCCCTGGGGTGTCCCAGCCTCTGTGTCAACTGCGGCAACAGTTTCGGGTTTAGGGTTGGGGACTCATAGACTCTTGCATGTGTTATACTCGGCTTCAGGAACCTTGGCACAGAGGCAGGCACTGCTGACAAAACTTACAAGTTGTTTGTAACTTACAAGTCACTGGCTCATGGCCTTAGCTACTTGCTCTTTAAGTAAGCCAACATGGTGTCAGCGTCCGAGACCTCGAACGGGTCTGGGCCAGAGTTCTGTACAGCATTGGGCTCCATGAAGAGTTTCTCTACTTTCATGTCATTGACGACCATGGAGTACCTCCAGGACCTTTCGCCGAAGCCTCGCTCGCTGTCCCAGATGCAGGACATGCCCATGCCACGGGTGAACCCGCACGCGCCATCGGGCAGAAGCTTCACCTTCTTGAACCCCAGGCTTCCTGGTGCCTTGTCCTCCTCCAAGCCTTGGGCCAATCCCCACTGACGCATCACGAAGGCGTCGTTCACAGAGAGGCAGTACACCTCATCGATGCCGTGTGCCTTGATCTCATCGTACTTGCTCTCGTAGCCTGGGAGGTGCGTGCTCGAGCACGTTGGGGTGAAAGCCCCTGGTAAAGCGAAGACCACCACGCGCTTTCCTTTGAAGAGATCCTCAGAGGTCAGGTCCTTCCAATCAAAGGGATTCTCCACCTTCTCCTCCGTGCGCGTGCGGGTCTTGAATGTCACCGAGGGCACGTTGCTACCCTCACTCATTGGACTGATTGCTGCAAACGCGGCAGGGCCAGGGCTAGCTGATGGCATGGCGAGCTGGCTTCTCATGCATGCCAAAAGAAGCAGGCCGAGCAGCAACAAGCATCTCGATGACGTACGGGGCATAGCTGCACGCGGCATGGCTACAATCAGCCAGAAGCAGCGAGTTTTTGAGACACACGTGCTGCAGCCGTATAACATGCTCGAGACCACGAAAACCTCAACGAAAGAACCTAGTCAAGACTTGGTATTCAACAAGCTGTAGTAGAACAAACATGCAACCCTCATGACCCTGACGCGACGACTCCTAGTTCTAGCTCGAAATTAGACTCTCATCATGTCGGTGTGCATTGAACTGTGGCCTGCACTTGTACTTGTGTCCGTAGAATGCCAAAGTATTGAAACGCAGAGAAACCCCTAAACCCTAAACCTCAAACCCCTAAATCCTGAACCTGTCCGAAACCCAAAATGTTGAACCCTAAACCCTGAAACTCAAAACGAAGGGCCCTCAAGAAACTCCAAGCCCTAAACTCCTAAACCCCAAACCTGAAGCCCCAAACCCCAAAGCCTGAACTGAACCCTCAAACCCAGCCAAAACCCCGAAGGAAGCCCCAAACTCGAAGACCTGTAGGCTCCTCCTACACACCCCGAACAAGGAAACCTCAAGCCCGGCTTTAGGGTTTGGGGTTTAGGGTTCAGGGTTTAAGATTTAGGGTTTAGGGTTCAGGGCCCCGTATAAACCCTAAACCCTGAAGCCTCACGCCCTTCCCAAGCTGATAGCCGGTTTGGGGTCTGGCAGGTGAGGGAAAGTCGGTTTAAGGTTGTCTAGGGTTCGGAAAGAAAGCCAGAGCCCCCACCCCCCTACCCCTCCGCACATAAAAGTCAAAAATCGCTAACCCCTCATAGTTTACCCACCCAAAGGCTCCATAGTTCCCTTCTGAATATGATCCACAAAAAGGAACCACAAAGGAATACTGTTTCCCGGCGAGGCCACAGGAAGGGCGAGAAGGGCTGAAGCCAGCTGAACCACACCTAAGTGTCGCATTTTAACAGCCCCCGCCCCCCCCCCCCCCAAAAAAAAAAAAAATAGTAATCATGAATATTAGGGCTCTAGAATAAGCCATCGATGAAATTCAACCATAATAAGCAATCAGAGTAATCAAAACGCTATCCCAAATGGGGGTTTCCGAAAATAGGGGACCCTAATATAGTTCCCCAAACAGTAGGATCCTTACTATAACGACCCCAACTAAGGTAGCCCTAATGATCGGAAACTCCCAAATCCCTAAACCTCTAAGCCTTAAACCCCCTCTTCGAGCAAAGAAGGGCAGATCTGCGAAATTAAACCCCAATAAGCAATCCGAGTAATTAAAAGTTATCCCAAATCGATACCTAGCCACGGACTTGAAGCCTAAGCTCGGGTCCCAGCGGTTGTCGTAGACCTTGCAGGATGACTCTCCGAAGTCGTAGACGAATGGAGAAATTCCATGCCATGTGCGGTTACATGTATATCCAAGCAGCAGCAGCAGTAGTAATAGTAGTAGTAGTAGTAGTAGTAGTAGTAGTAGTAGTAGTAGTAGTAGTAGTAGTAGTAGTAGTACTAGTAATAGTAGTAGTACCAGTACTAGTACTAGTACTAGTACTAGTACTAGTGTACTAGTAGTAGTAGTAGTAGTAGTAGTAGTAGTAGTAGTAGTAGTAGTAGCAGCAGCAGCAGCAGCAGCAGCAGCAGCTGCGCCCGTCACGACCCTGTGCGCTGTTTGAAGATCTAGCGGTTTGATTGTGGGTTTAGTTTAGGGTTGCAGGGTCGAGGGTTTGAGAGCTTCGGCGGAGTTAGGACTTTAGGATTGAGGTTGAGGGTTGAGGGATTTAGGGTCAGGATTGTTTGGTAAAAGGGGTCTGTAGCGAGAGCCAAGCACGGCAAGAATCTGTCGCCAAACCCTAAACCCAGTCTGTAAAATGATCCTGCCCGCCTGCTTGCGGACCATCAGTTTCATGTTTCCTGCCGGCAATCTTCAAAGGTTGTATCCCATTGGCCCTCCAAGCAGGGTCCGTTTAGGGTTCACGGTTCAAGCCCTATGGCAACCATTAACAGAACACGGATTGAAAAAGTAACCCTCGCCCTGATCCTCAAACCCTTTGCAAAAGCCTGGCCCGGGAAACAAATACCTCGGGCCTAGATGGACCGCTCAACATGGACCTCAGAGTAGTGTGTCATTTGAGGGTTGGTTCTGATACTCCTCAGTTGAATACGGTTTAGGATGCATGCTGACAGTCTACAGCTCCATGCAGCTCAGGGTCTGTAATGACGTTCTACAGTTGAATACGGTTTAGGGCCTCAGATGAAATTCTACATGAAACCGGCTTAGGGTTCATACTGAAATCCTGCACTGAAGCAAGGGATTCCCTTTTCCCACATCGCACGAGGCTGGGGTGTCTGCGCGTGTTTGGGGTCTGAGCTGCAGGAAATTTCAAACGAAATCCTGAAACCTCCTTCCCAGCAATAAAGACGGCGCTCCCAGGCAGAATTCAACATCAGGGTTTAGGGTTCTAAGGGATTTAAGGGCTTTGGGGTCTATGGTTTAGGGTCGATCACCCGGCTCGAAAATTCTACATCTTAATTATCTTGCAACCTCAGAACTTGAGAGGCCCTACACCCTCCGGTCTCGACCCGGACGCCCGAAACCCCTGTCGATCTCCTGCCATGATCGGGCTCGAAAAAGTGGCCATCTGTCGCCGCGTATCCTCCCACGGGGTCTCACTTCGAGATCGGGGCCTTAATGATTTTCAAGTTCGCGAACACAAGGAGCTGGAAGTATGCCTGACTTTACGCACACTCCGAAGGAATCCTATGACTAAGTACATAAGTCGATGTGCCCGGGCCGTAGTGGATTTGTTGTCGATACCGGACCCTTGCTCGCTGTCGCCTTCGTAGCCTCTTCTGTAACTTCCTGTAACAGCCCAACTTCTGGTAACCCCTGGAGCCGCATTTCAAGAAAAGCGTCCGTCTCCATGATCACGGAGATGCAGAAATCAATGAGCTGCATTTGCACCTCGTCGCACGCCCTAAAGATGACAGGTGTCCATAAGCAGTGGCACTGGATCCCAGGCCATCTTGTGCAAACACGGGTCGGTCATTCGCAACACCAAATTTCAAACCCCAAACTCAAACCCTGAACCCCAAAACCCTAACGCCAAACCCTGAGAGGAGAAAAGAGGCCAGTTGCGCCAGAAAGGTGCACGAATCCAAACTGTAACGACCCAAGCGTTTTAGAGCCTAAGGCCTCGCATTTCGGGGGGGTGGTGGATAATTAGGGCTCAGGGTTTTGCGTTCGCGGCGGGGAGACGCAACCCCAGATCGCTCAATCCCCGTAACCACCACTGGCGATGTCTTTCGGGTGCCTGATTTAAAAATAGTTACCATGCTACATACCCCAAAGCCGTATCATAGATACATCTACTCTAACAATTACAGATACACAAAACCCTATCATAGATATACTTACTAACTCTGAATTCTTAAGTCCTCCACATGACGACATGAGAGTGCCAAGCTCTGGCAAGTCCAAGGAGCATCGTGCACGCATGCATCCCAGGGGGAGGCAAACAAGCCTCGGCTGCCCCCCAAAGCAGGGAGGTTCAAACTTCAAGGTCGAGGGTTTAGGGTTTAAGGGTGTAGGGATTAAGTATACGCCCTACACCCTTATCATAGGGTTTAGGGTTTAGGGGTGCAGGGATTAAAGTATAAGCCCAACGGCCTTATATAGGGTTTAGGGTCATTATAGGATTTTTGAGGAGAAGATCGAAATTAGGGTCCCTGGTACCGTGTGGATCAGTGCAAGGTTGCCGGGATTCGGGAGTTTTGTAGTCAACATGATTCTAGAAGCCCAAAAGCATAAAGCCCGCAACACCCGAACAAACACCAAAACCCAAAGAGCCTGATAATCTTCCGGCCTTTGCAATCTCTGCCCAGAAGCTGAGGGAGGCGTCAGAGACAGGTACGCGGGTGGTCTGAAATTGCGCGGAGTTCGCCTTGAGCTACGGAGTTCGAAATCCGGTGTCGGATGCATCGTGCATGGGGTTTGGGCGTGGGATTCTGCTTGTCTTGGTACCCACGGTTGAGGGTTTAGGGTTTTAGATTTTCCGGTTTCGCGTCTAAGGTTGGGGGGTTGAGGCTCTAATATAAGGGGCCTTAATAACTAGAATATGTACTCTACTTATAGGAACCCCTAAATAGTATTGGTACTTATTTAGGCTCCTAGATGCCTAAATCACTTCTAGAGCCCTTAGAGCAGCCCTTAAAGGAACCCTCTAACGGAACCCTATTTTCTAAACGCCCCTTTTACCAGTTTATCAGAGGTTTAAGGCTCGTCCCAGCTAACCCTTCGGGGTTTTCGTTTCGGCTCTAAGGCGCTGGGCGCATGTTGGAGGGTCGAATTCAGGGGTCTTATGACTTTCAATGGGGTTTCGAGGTGTAGGATAGAAGGAACCCTAAGAAAGAGTATGAGGAAATATCTAGGCTTTTGTATTGACTCGACAACATAGACTAGGGGGAACGAAAAACGGAAAGATCCCAGCAAAAGAACTCGAGTCCCTGCCAGACTAGGGCAGGGGGCCCCATCAACATGAACTTCTTGCAAACTCCCCAAGACCCGGAAACCTCCAAACCCCTACACGCTAAACCCCGAAGGCTAAACGCAACCCCTATAAACATGGCCCTTAAAGAAACGCTTGCTGTAGAACCTTGCGGGTAGTTCTCCAAATTAGGATCCCTCTTTGGGCTCCAGGAATAGTCCGGCACCAGACTAAAAGGGCCCCTAATTTGGAGAACTGCCCTTGCTGTGACCCGTAAATTCGACCTTCCCAGTTCGGGCCGGGGCACCACCTTCTTGAAGAAGCTGGCGACGGATCCTGTCCACTCTCCATCCTTCCAGGGAGGGCTCTTTGGGCTTATGGGCTAGGATTTAGGGTTGGGGGGTTCGGGCTTTGGGGTTTAGGGGCTCTTTGGGTTGAGGGGCTAAGGCTTGTGCAATTAGCATAGGATGTTGGGACATATCGTACACTCAAGTTATACAATGGAACCCTGAGAAAAACTATGGCTACTACTCACCCATCTGTATCGGAGTGTAGAGTATGGGATTCATGGACTAGGATAGGTGGCTTAGGATTCCGGGATTTGGATATACGGTTCATTCAGGGCTCAAGCTTGAGGGTGTAGTTTCAGACTTACTGGGCAAGACTCGGGGCTTAACGGCTCACATATAGCACTGTAACCTTTTTAGCAACTTGTACAAGGCGGAACCAAAAACCAGCTTCCCCAGTAGGCCCATAATAATAAGGGTGCCCTTATGTGCCCTTCTTCCTACTGCTTGGTGGAGCCCAAAAAGAAAAGGGCCAAAAGCGTACTACTGGGGAACCTAGAAAAGCTCTGCATCTTCCTTCTTCACCCCAAAGCCTGCTCGTAGTGCCATGGGCGGCTGCTTGCCGGATATGCCTTGGAGAGCTGTCGGCTCAGAGTTCACATTCAAGGTTTTGAGTTCAAGGCTATAGGCTTAGAGTTAAGGGTCAGTTGTTTTAGGGTTTAGGCGGTTTAGGGCTTACAGTGTAGGACTTGCGGTGCGGGGTTGAAGGTTTAGGGCTGAGGAGCTAAAAACCCAGGATTTAGGGTAGTGTGTTCGAGTGCTGCACTGGGCGGTGCGAGGTGCACGGGGATTTCAGGCTTTAGGCTGTAGGAGTGAGTTTCGACTGTAGGGTTGCTCGGGTCCGTGCACGAGCTGGAAAGACTCTTTGAGCATAGGACGTGTCTGGGTCTTATGGGGCGTTGTGGCGTCTTGGGGACTTCAGGCCAAAGAGAATTAGGAGTACCCTCACACATAACAGACCATCATATGGGTATATGAGTATATTATCGTATACGCATAAAGTATGCTTTCTAACGGCAAGCCAAGGAATAGTTGCTGGCAGATATTCAGGCTTCTATCTCAAGGTCGAAGCCCGGAGCACTCTGTATAAACTCTAGGCTAATTATGGCTCAGATGGTGAACTTCGAAAACCAAAAGCCTTTACTTGGCATTTCGGGCTAAGGCTTTAGCGTTTAGGGAACGGCTGGCGTTAAGAGTTCATATGCCCACACTCAAGCCTCCCTCTTATATCGAGCAGCGAAGGTGTAGGTCTGCCCAGCCAGTTGATCCCGGATTTGCTCAGTGATGCTATCTTGGCCGCTTTGGTAGCCGCAGGACAGGTAGGAGTACCTGCAGGGGTTTCCGGAGACTTCAGGGAGTTCAGGGTCCAGGGTGCCATTTCCACTCAGTTTCGGTGATTCGGGCTGAGGGTCCGGTTCCCCTAAAGGGCCCTTGGTGCGGCGGCGGTTGTCTATGTGGGCTATCAATCAAGTAGGGACTACTGATCGGGGATGGCGGTCATCAGACGCATTCTCTAACGGTCTCGTGTATGCACCTGACCCGTAACTCTGAGGCCTTTCGAAGCTGGTGGGGTTGTGGCTCGGTCTGACCAAAACCCCAAGCCCCTAAATCCTAGCTCTGGAGACAGTACAGAACTCTTTAGATCCTTTGAGCCGTCATACCTTATGTAGCTGATCCACAAATGATTCGCTTCTGGATTGTCCCAAGACTGCCTGCATAAACCCTATACCCTAAGATCCTAAGCCTGTGAAACGCAGCACTCGAAAATGGAAGTCAGGGGCAACTTTGGGGTTTAGGGTTTAATTAAGGTTTGGGGTTTCGGGTTTGGGGTTTCGGGGCTCCCTCTAACCGAAGCCCCCGTAACTAAAGCACCTTCTAGCAGCACGGCCCTACATCCCCAAACCATTCACCAAAACCACAAGTCCCGCTTAGCATAAAAAAATTATGGTCGAACATCCCCCCAAACCTTATATTCCAATGTCAGGGCATAGGGTTTGGGGGTTCCCTAAGTAAAGTTTAATCATTGTAGTATAATATTACTCCCCAAAAGAAAACGATTTTAGCTATGAAGGCCCCTACATTGGAAGCCTAGAACTCCTCCAGCCGAGGCGCTGCAGGTCCATCCCGAGGAAGTAAACACTCGGATAGCTGGCCGTGCTGCAGTTCTGGGCTGCTTTTTGGGTTTAAGGTTTAGGAGTTTAGGAGTTTAGGGGTTTAGGGGTTTAGGGTTTGAGGGTTTAGGGGGCTGACAACATACATTCGTCGGCAAATGTCGGTTTGGAGTTCTGGACCGCTTTTTTGTGTTGCAGAAAGAAGTTCCGGTTGGCCTGCTCCTGAGAGTTTGCACGGCTGAGTCCAGAATCCCAAGCCTAAGCCCTAGAGAATGAAATCCTCAGCCCACACAGCCTCTTCGGCCCAATTAAGCGTAGCAATCATTCAATATCAGCCTCCCGCGATCTTGGGAATACATATGAAGCCCTAGGTCTTGAAACAGTTGCGTAAAGTGTGCAATACCGCAATGTGCTGGGGAACCCTGAGGACGCATGTTGCTCATGATTCAAGACCTTGGCAGATCGGTCAGATGATGATCGGAATGAGGCAGGCGTCTGTAGCAAGAGTAATTTGGGGGAGGCCGCGCACACACGTAGTCAGATAAGAAAAAAGATTTCAGCCTTGGAACACTGTAGAGCGGCCTGCCCAATGGTTCTCACCCCTGGATGGTACGTTTGCCTTTAACTTCGGAACTTTACAGGCAGATGGTTTGGATTTCTAAGAGGCTTGGGGCGGCTTAGGATGCTTGGTGTCCAGCAATGGTTTCGGGGAGTTTCTGTTCAAAGCCGCCAGGAGGCCGCCGGACAGCGTCTGGACTGAACCCCTGAACCCTAAGCCCTTAATCCAAAGCCCTTAACTCCGAAACCTGCCGCCCGAGTCTTCAAGAAGACAAGACGCCGATGGATCGACGTAACAGTATAAGCTCTGGCATGAGGGATCGCCAGCTTCGCCTTTGTCTGTGCAGAGCTACTACTTCGCGATAACGACAAACCAAGACTCTCACTGCGAAACATCCGAGACTTGAATGTTCTTGCCAAAGTAATACAGCTTGACAAGCTGTCAGATGCATGAAACAGGAAACAACCTAAACAACTTCGAGCCGGTGCATGCCACAACTTCACAGCAATTCGGGTCCTTTCTCCGCGAGTGCCGCAATGTATTGGAGACCTAAAGGGTCGCCGAAGTTAAGAGAACTAGCCACATGCCATAACCCAAAGCCTGCAGCAGAGTGGCACAAACCAACGAGGAATGCGTCCCAAGTCTGGCCTGGGAAACAACTGGCAACAAATGCTTGCTGAACACTGAAGACTAAATCGATGCTCCTGGAGACTTAGCCCGCACAATAAGTTTAGCCGGGGTGTTTGGCAAAAACATCGGGATTTCTGTGAAGGAGCAAGTGTATACACGGATTCAAGTTTCGAGTGCCCGAAACCCTCACTCAAGGTGAGGTTCGGCTAGAGTTCAGAGCTTGGGGAAAAACCTGTTGGTTGGGATACCAAGCTTCAGGTTTGAAGCTTTGAAAACCGAGTAGGGTGTTGGGGCCATCCGGATTCACAACTTAGTTTGAGGCGCGAAAGTTAAAACGCGCCAGCATCATACAATGCTCTCGCGATTGCAATCGGGGCACAACTGGAGCCGAACACATTCGTACCGTTGTAATGGTACCTCGGCTGCTGGATTACGCCCGGCCCATGCAAAAGTCCTATAATCAAAACGCAACTGACCTGCCTCTGATTCAAACCTCCTTCGGAAAGGTTTAGGGTTTAGGGTTTAGGACCACTACAACGGAAACACAAAAAAACCTCCCAAACGCAGCTCCAGGGAGCAGGCCTTGCGAGGTCGGAACCTGCAGCCCTCCTGGTCGAAATGTTGGGGTTTCGGACGACACTCTCAAGGAGTTTGGGGTTTCGCCCGGGTTATGACGTCGTACGTGCTGCGAAAGGTATCATGTATTCTGTCCATGAGTTCAGGATGATGCATGTCGTAGACAGCTTACATGTTCACAAGTTCTTTATGATCAAACCGGTAACCTCAAATAATTGTAATACTCTCGACACCGTAGGCTAGAAGAACCCCAAGACCTCGACGTCCGACGACTTCGGCATTAGTGGGCTTCTGGTCTTAGGAAGGTATTCTCATGATTCCCGTTCTTTATTTAGGGGCCTGAATAACCAGATATGAAAGGAACCGGGTACCGTTAAAGGGCTCCTTGAAAAGGTCTCTGTTAAGGGCTGCTATGACAAACAAGGTTAAAGGGTTGATATACTTGCACGTGTTAGCCTTGGGTGAGTGTTTACGGTCTTGGGGGTTTGGGGTTGAGGGTTTCGGAGTAGGGTGTAGCATTGTGGGATTTGTGGGGTTTGGGGTTCAGGGGACTTGATATAAGGGTTTTCAAGAACGTGAAAAAACGTTCCGTGGCTCTTCCGGGCTTTGAATGCTTTGGGGCTGGCCGAACTGTAGACAAGCGGTCTTGGCTGCCCTAGTTTCCCAGTTGCTCTGTAAAAACATTGGGTTGGGGGATCTTCTCCCCCAATATTACAGGGTATAACAGAAGGTGCGTTAACAATTAAGCTAGGGTTTTGGGGTATGCTATGTTATATTCATAAGAAGGAACCCCCCAAACCCTAGTTTAAAAAATGAAAGCCCCTAAATTACACCACGGAGAACAGCAACAATCAGTAACTCAGTAACATAGGGACCTTACTGGCCACAATAGAATTATGATGAAGGCCCCCAAGATATTGGGGGTATTGTATTTAGGCCCTTTGTATTCGGGTATTGGATCCACATGTAGACCCGTGGGATAGCGAGGTGCTTGTCACGACCTTCTTCTCGGAACTGCCCCTTTAATCGCCCAGGTCTCAACATAGTAAGTTACTGGGTTATGGGTATTCTTGTTGGGTTTAAGGGATAGCTTGTCAAGGTTGTCTTCTGGGACCTGACGAAACGCTTGGAGGTTGTGTGCAACACAGGGTTCAAGGTTTCAGGGTTGAAGGCTTAGGGTTTCGAACTGAAACAGGATATAGAAAGGCTTTGAGTGCATGTCATGATAGAGCTGCGCAAGGACTAACTGCAAACTAGCACGGGTGATCTTGTAACTACTTAATCAGACCCCCGTGTTTGACGTAATTGCAAATGCGGCGGCTGAAGTACGAGAACGAAATGATGGACAAGATGGCAACAGTATCAAGCCTATTTTAATCAGGATGGGGGATGGGGCGACCTAGAACTTCACGCCACGCTATTGAACCTGCTGTAGTCGCATCTGCTACGCCGCTAAGACGAACCCCTCGATGCGCCTCCGAGCCAGTAGGTGGTGGATTGAAAATCTGCCGCGATGCACGGGCAGCCTGTGCAAATCTCAACCGCCCTTGCGCTAAACCCTGATCTGCAAACATGTACATAACCCTAAACTCCGAATTGGTAAAACATCGAAAGCCGTCAACCCTGGAACCCACCACCAAGCCCCAAACGCTCAAATGTGATAGAATGTAGGATTTCTACAATAAAAATCACAATTGTCATGACTCACTCCACTGGCCAAATTCTTCATCTGAGCGACGGCGACGCTGCAGGCCACACTTCAACGAAAGAGTGAAAGGAAAGGATCAGCGCTAAGCCATGCGACCACTTAGGGATAGGGTCAAGGTCTCCAAAATCACACATTGCCGCGCATGCCCAAGCTGCTGCATGCTTCGCGTTCCGCCCTTCAGTTCTTTAGCACCGCTGCAACTTGGCAGACAACTTGTCTTTCCGAGCGACAGCGCCGTGGGGCGAGATACATCCTCCCTGGCTGCCGGCAGCGGCGCCGCAACACCAAAAGAGCGAGAACCGAGCACACAAGAAGCAAGCAAAAGCCTGCGGAGAAGGTGGCTTCAGCGCCAAAAGGTTTTAAAACCATGGCACAATGGACAATACCATCGTTCATGCTGCCTCGGCCATGGACGTGCTACGGGTCCTTGGGACCGCGACCTGGCAACAAGGGCACAAGCCCATCCTGACAGCGAAATAAACGTTGTATTGGAGTTACCTTTAAAACCCACGATTTCTTCACTCAGAGCACCCTTAAAGCAACATGCATCAGCTCCTGGCGAAGTCAAGAAAAGGACCTCCCATCTCTGGAAAGGCAAATTGCAATTGCAATGCACGGCAGTCCATGGCCGGGTCGAGTTCTGGCGTCGCGGCACCTCGCGATGGTGAGTTCAGCACGGCCGCTTACTCACAGCTTCCGGAGCACAGCAGCAGAGCGTTCAAGCTAAGCTCAACGCTGTTACGGAGGACGGTTCGAACCATGTTGGGTTGGAAGAACGTAGCGCAGTACCAACCTTACAGGAGAGAGGTGCTATCCACATGAGGCGCTAAGCCGGTCAAGTCAGGTCCCGGGTGCTCATGTGGCTCCAAAGATCCTTCACCTCAGGGCTGCGCAGCCGGATTCATGTCGGCCTCCTTTGAGAAAGTAGTTACAAACCCAGAGACCGGCTCCAAAAGCGGCTCGGTTTTCCAGCAACTCAGCATCAGAGAGATCTTCTGAGGCCCGAAATTGAGCTCGAGACTCCGATTCAACCCCGAAGCTTCCCCATTCAATACGGAGAGGCGCTGAATAATTTCGTTACGAACAAGACCCAGGCCCGTGGATGAAGGTAAGCTTGTAAACAACGGAGTGGGTTTTGGTCCACCCCATTCTCATGTGTTCGTAGTCTTACACCAGCTGGATTGGACTAGTTGCCTTTTCGGCCTGATGATGATAATGATGGTCATGATGCTGACGAGGAGGTTGCTGATGACGATGCAGGACGATGATGACCAATGATCAAGTTTTGAACAGCGGCCTCAATCGTGACGATTGGTTACCTGTTTTTGTGCGTCGCGGGAACCCCGGACACTCGCTTACGCCATGCCATGACATGCCATGCCACAGACATAGCGATCATCTGATCATCTTGGGCCCCTGCTCGTGGCACATCATGTGCCTGCCCGAAGGCCTTCATCATGCTGCCATACGTCGGGCCAGAGACCTGCTAGGAGATGTGTGACGAAACAGACACGGCTTCAGCAACACGAACACTAAGAAGAACAAGAGCAACAGTAGCAACAAGAGCCACAACAGGAGCAGCAGCAGCAGCAGCAGCAGCAGCAGCAGCAGCAGCAGCAGCAGCACAGCAGCAAATACCTGAAGCAAAAAAACAGTCTAACAACCAACCCACTTCGAATCCCTGCCCCTGAAGCCGAAACATCCAAGCCCAAAGCCTTCTAGCCCCCCCCCCCCCCCTGAAAAGGACTCTCAAACTCTGAACCCGCAGCTCTCGAAAAGGCTTTTGCTGCCAAAGCCCACGCCCCACCACCGACAATCCTCCGACCAAGAAAGCTCCAAATCCTAAATGCTCCTGGATCCTCAACCAGATACCATCTTAAGTCCCAAATCCGACACCCTCAAAAGTCCTCATCCTTGCAAACCATCTTAACTCACGCCCAGCACACACAACCTGCCCGGCGAACCCTAAAACCCAAAGCCACGAAAAAGAACCAAGCCATGAATGGCCGCCCCAACAAAAAGAAACAACACAACCCCAAAAGTCTCCAAAGACCTCCGAACCCCCCCACCCCGGTCAGCCAAAAAAAGCCGGAAAAAAGCCCACGAAGAAGTCTCGACTGCCTGAATCGGATTCTCGCCGGAGGTCACGCTCCGGAAGCGATCCCACAGCCTCAAGAAGCTCGGCTTAGGCTCACCCCTGAACCCTAAACCCCTAAACCCGGAACCCAAAACCTTAAACCCTCAGAGGTTCTGCCAGAGATCGATGATGGGAGTCCGAAAAGGGTGTCCCAGGGTCTTTGGGTGCTCTTAAGGGTCCGAAGGTGCCTGGATAGCAATTGCTGTAAGTTGGTGGTCGGTTGGGTAAAGGATCATAAGGTGCTAGGGTAAATGTGCTCTCATCCTTCGCATCCGTAAGCCCTACACCCTAAACCTCTCTTACTTCCACAAACACGGAACCCCTAATCCCTAATGGTAGCGGCACTCAGAGCTTGTAGACAAGCTGGGGGTGGGAACGTTCCATCGCTGAGTGCGTTGGGAACAAGGTCAAGCCGGAAACCCGAAAACCCAGGCGAAGAGAATACTGCCAGAATGGAAGTCCGCACGATTCTTTTCCCAAAGGCTCCACGCTTGAAAAAAATCAATCTAACGCTTGAAATTAATGTTGTTTCATTCTGCGCTTGAAACAGGACTTTCCGGGCTCAGTTTCAATCGATACTGTTTTTGGATGTTTGCTCTTCGCTTGATTCCTCGATTGATTATGCGATTGATTCTTCGCTTGATTCTAGGGAGCCTCTTCGCTTGATTCCTCGATTGATTCTAGGGAGGCTCTTCGCTTGAATTTACGAAGGCTCTTCGCTTGAATTTACGAATCCACAAAAATCGGTAATATTCTCGACTTTACACGTATATATATATATATATATATATGCATGTGCATACATACATATTATATATATATATATATATCTATGTATGTATGTATGTATGTATATATATATATATATATATATTTGTGTATATATATATATATATATATATATATATATATATATTCATGTAGTATATGTATGTGTAAAGTGTGTGTGTGTGTGTGTGAGAAACATCAGTGATGTCTGGAGAGACATGTTTGCATTTGTGGAATGTTAGCAATTGTGATGGTCTGGACAGACCGACATGTGACATGTTTTCAGTGACTGTGTCATGGTTGGATGTCTGGATAGACAAGATTGAACTGCATGACATATACGGAGTCCTGCATGGAGCATGTGTATGATGTCTGGATAGACATGAGGGGGTTCCACTGTCCTGGATATCACTCAGGCAACAAGGCCCAGGCCATATCGGGTGGAGACTGTATATGGATGTCTGGATAGACGTGAGGGGGGTTCCATGGTCTGGACAGACCGACATGTGACATATGTTTTTATCGTGTCATGGTTGGATGTCTGGATAGACATTATTGAACTGCAAAACTTAATTCTTTGATTTGCCGCCTAATCTCAAAGACTTTTTTTGCTAGCAAGTTGTAGGCTCGTAGGAGACAGCCTAGGGCCCGGAGCTATGGCCCCGAAGGAGCAGAAGGACGGCCCAAAGCCTAGGGGTGGAGCGAGAAGGGCAAAAGTGCCGGAGTCCTGCATGGAGCACTTGCATGATGTGTTAACAGAGTTGGCCCAGTCGCAGGGTGGGTTCCATTTCCACGGCTATCACACTGCCGCGAAGGCCCAGGCCATCCTGGGTGGAGACTTGGTGCAGAACTTCACCTTCATCACAGCATTGGCGAAGGTACAGCCAGCCTTGATGTTTCGCTATGCCGACCTGAAGTCTGTGTTCAGCAAGTTGGTGGCTACGTTTCCTGCTGTGAGGCAGGTCTTTCCGATCAGCCAGCAGGGATCGGCAGCTGCCAAGCTGTCGGAGAACACTATGACGATGTGCACCCACGCTCGGAGGCTACGGGATGAGGGAAAGTTCAAAGAGGCCTGCTCTTCGTTGTCGGAGTACCAGGTGCAAAAGCTCCAGCAACTCCGCGACTTGGTGATCGCGGAAGACGAGGACTCTTGAATGGTATATTTAGAGAAATGTGTTGTGATTTTGTGCTATTTGTTTGTGGCGAATCACCCCCAAAAAGTAGTCTTGTCATGGTATAGTTTCTGCTTTAATCAACTTAAGTGTGATGCACCTAGGATGGTACCCAGGGCAAGGAGGAGACCCCCCGGAAGCAGAAATCTGCGAAGGCCCAGGAGAAGCTCCCCGTTAAGAAGACACCCACGAAGCCGCAGAAGAAGAAGCCTGACCCCAGCACACCCCCGAAGAAGTTGAAGAAGCCGACCCGGGACTTGGATGCTGTCAGTGTGGACACACTGGCAGCTTTGGAGTTAGAGATCCCAGCCACTCAGGATTCGGAAGATCCTCAGGACCTCTTGAACTCATTGTCCTTGGGGTTTGATGAGGTGCCCTCCCCGATTCCCGCGAGGAAGAAGTCCATCAAGGAAGCCTTGAAAGGCGAGAAAGGC